CTTGTGCACGTGAACCGCGCCCATGCACATGTGAGATATTGACCACAGTGGAAATGCGATAGCTGAGAGAACTGTGCTGATTTATAGACAGGGTCAACCCCCCTCCCAATGAAAGGAGAGAGGGGGGGATGGATTCCAGTTTTTTAATCTATAGTTTTGCTATGATGGTAGACATCATCAAAGACATTTTGTGTACATGTATACGTACTGCATGTATAAACATATTTTGATTTTCCATTTTAAATTGTTTTCCGTAGCGTTCATTACTTTTTTGGAAGCAATTCTTTTCTTTCCTAATAACACTAACATGGATGCTCAAACTAAGAAATGGAATTAGATATATATACAGTATCCCCCCCACACACATCATGCATTGCCTCGAAATGCACAAATGAAAACTGTTATTTAATAATATTTAAAAGCTATCTAACACAAACATGACAAAGTCTACCTTCCTTTTATTCACCAAAATCTATGTCATTTCTATACAATTTAATGTGATCTTAGTTGCTATGGTGGTTTTTGTTCATTTACCGGTATAAGATGAACTTTCTCTGATGTCTGCGCCGAAGAGAATTTATCGGAGATCATTGTAATGATCACGATGCAGAATTAAAAAAATATTCTATGCTTTATCATTTATTATGTAGAGCATTATGTTACAAATAAGAAAACGATTCCAAGAATTTAACTTTTCTTACAATGGCATGTATTACATTTAAGGAACACAACATGATGGATAGATCAAATCATAAACCATTACAAAACAAGAAAGAAACTTTCTGTATTCCAGTGGCTGACGCTCAGCTTTTTTTAAAAAAGCTAACCTTGTTAGTATTTGTGGTAGTCGGGTCTGTTATTATGCTTCTAAAATAATGTACATTGCACATGTATTTATAATTATGACGTGAAGCGGTCACCCATCCAAAGGTTACACAGGCTCGCCGTTCAGGTTGCTGAAAACCTACATGTAGCAAGGCAGTATAAGTTGCATATACAGTGTACCCCCCCCCCCCCCCGGCTTAGGGAAGCTTCGAACCTAAGCTTAGCATGAGTTCTCCCTAAGTGTCTGGACCTCTTCAGTACCGGCAAATAATGTCATCCACGAATACAAAGTCTGTACCTGGACACAAAGTCCTAACCTTAGAGCTTCTTGATGCTAGCTCTAAGACTTCCTGAAGCAAAGTCGCAAAACAACACGCTTCCATCAATTTTGTCATGTTTGTGAATGAAGCCCGTTATGCTTAAATTATCCCATGTTTCCCACTATTGTTGATGTCCCTGACATACCCTCCTAACTAGACAGTGATTCCTTATATTTCCATTTCATTGTGAAATAAAATTGTAGATTTAGACTTTAAAAATGCAGACATGGATTTAAACATCTTCGCTAGCCAAGGGTTTCCGATCCGATACCTACTCTACAACCCTTGGCAGATTTAGTCCTATCAAACGGGAACTTTGATTGCGCCGCCTATCGTCGTAATTGAGTTAAGTCCCTTGAAGCTCTTTAATATTTGTCCAATGAAAATAGCTGTAACATACGTAGATCAATATGACGTTTGAAACAATATGGCGACCTCCATGTGGAATATATCCAAACAACTTCATACAGCTGTGGGCATTGGGCACACCTCAAAAGTGGTGGAAAGTATCGTTCTTTGTTGATTTTTAGTCAAGAGTTTGACACTAATTTCTACTTGTTGCCGTATCAATTATTATCAATGAGCCGTGACATTTGATTGGCTAAAATTGATGCATCTAAAATGCGGAACACGGACTTATGTGGTCCTTTCAATAATTCTTGAAAACATATATAATTAAAAGAAAAAAATTCAAATTAATTAATCCCTTGTTTTTAAGCATAGATCACGTCCTAACTTTCATCCATTGTAAATATTACTTTTATTTTGTGCATAAAACACGAACAGACTTTAATTCAGCCGAAAATCGTCGATTAGTAAAAACCTTGCGAAGACTCGGACTTCGCAGCCAATCAAATTCGTTTGCGCGAGTTCTAAGATTTTCGGCCAAATCTGCCAAGGGTTGTAGAGTAGGTATCGGATCGGAAACCCTTGGCTAGCGAAGATGGGATTTAAATTACACGATGATTCCCATCCCAATTTCAAAAGCCCTCGCCCAATGACATCAAACACAAAGGCAGCCACACAAGATTTTCATGCATATTTGGCATCCTTAGCGTCAGGCTCCGAGACAGATGTGCACAAGATTTGCATGCATATTAGGCCTCCTTAGCTCCTGACATATTGACCTACCATTTAAATTCCGGTAGAATTATCAAGAAATTAACTCCGCTAGCTCTCAAAGAGTTATCACAGAGAGAAAAGTTAGAAATGGAAATATTTACTTTTAAACCACTGTATGACTGAATGAGTTTTTCGAAGATGTTTACAGACCATTTCATTAAATTCCCAGTAAATTTGACAAGCATTAAAAAATCAAAACTACGTTCAGTGTTTTTGACGGGTGTAGATACCCCCTGTCAATGTCAGAATATACTTCATTACTTGTCCAAATGTTCTTGTAAATATTTATAGAAGACACCACCCTTCACGCGACAAACAAAATAAAAAGGAGCTAGTGAAGGTTTGATTTTAATCGGACTGCCTTTTATGCATTTACTTATAATGTCGTCAATTGAAATTCAATTGTATTTGCTTATTTACCGCTGTCTGTTTTCAAGTCGACGAAAGAAAATTCGGAATCCGATTTCACACAATTTTTTTGAACAATGACACTAAAATGCAATTGCTGGAGTAAAATAAGGAAAGCAAGTCGTAATAAGACAAAATGCAAGTGCAAGCCAGAAAATGAATACTTATTCATCTGTTTATTCGCACGCACTTATATATATTATCTATTTATAACTCATTTATATAACCCCTTACAACTTTGTTGCAATTTATGGAGGAACTGACAATGCGGAGTCAGTTCAAGTATTGTTTTTAGAAGGAAAAACAAGGTACATACATACAAATTGTCACGGGAAGGAACGGGAGAGGAGGGGGGGGGGGAGGTTAAGATTTTTTTTTGCAAGAACATGTTTATGAATCAGTCAAAAAACTAGGTTTCTGAATTTTACGTGTGGAATTATTTGAAATTATTACACAGGTAAATTGTATAAAAAGAATCAAATTAAAAATAAAACAAACCCGGTTCTCTCAAACGAAGGGGCGTGCCCACCCACCCCCCACAATTTTATAATTAAATTACATTCTATACTTATAAACAGTGTAAATAACTTGTAACATGTATTATGCAATATGCACCACTAAATATTCATAAAGGCAGTGGATTTTATTCATTTTACATAATACACTGAAAACAATAAAGCCCACTTATATGATCTTAATACCATCGGGTGTACGAGATATTGATATTTACAGCAACAATGACTAGTTTTGTTGGACAGCTTACCTTGAAAAAAATAATCTATCATATTTTCTTTTTCTGGATTTCAGAACGTATTTCAGAAGGAACATGCAACAATTTATTTGTTAGAAATTTTACAAACATTTTTATTCTTATTTTAAATAAGTAGGCCTAGATCGATTGAATTTACTTGAACAAAAAAAAAAAACAATTTACCTTTCTCGTCCACATAATCTCAGGATCTCTTCACAATTATAAATTGTCATATATCTTTCAAATTACCTTTTCTAAGGAATTATGAAGTTCTAAAAAATATTATCAACAGCAAGTCAGCAACTTAAAAAAAGTTGAAAAAAAGTATTTTTTACACGATCTATAGTGACGTCATCAATGAATCTATTGCGTAATATTCATAAACATTTCCAGGCGAGAATCAAACAATTATATCAGTTGCAAAACAAACATAAAAAGTGCTAAAAATCTTGATTATTTAAATATTTTCTTATTTGCGTACTATTACAATCTTTCTCTGTTACATTTTTTTTGGGGGGGGGGGGGGGGGGGGGGCAGATGAACACTTTAACTTCAATCTTTAAGCATGCTGATCAAACGTTATCCCTATCGATAGTTTTCACCTGAAGGGTGGATAAAATATATTGTCTACCTAATTTATTGTTCAGTCTATGTTCTTAATGATAATGATTAGACTTATTTACTTATTTTGTAACTTTCTAAAAAAAAATTAACAGCAATTACGGTGCCTTTATTGAAAAATGATTTCACATTAGATTTCTCAACTTGAAATCCGGAATAACAAAGAAGGCATATAAACTCAATTTCAACATTGGCCGCAGCAAACGCGATTCACAAGATGTTGTTAAATCGAAACAATTTTGCGTTATAAAAAATATATGTAAGTTTCATGAATCGCGTTCATTGCGGCCAAAGTGAATTTTGCGATCAAAGATATAAAAACTGCCATTTTTAGAGAATATATTGAAACATGGTATGGTTTTGAGATTTACGTAGCGTTTGTGTGACGTTTTGGCGTCATTTTACATCCGTGATCAGATAGACCTGATCGTGTACAAAATATATCAACACTTTATTTCTGAAGGTATCATTGTTTATTTTTGACGAATTTACTAGGCCGATAGTGGTAACAACCGTATTTTCTTCTTTGGTACCTATTTTGAATTCAAATTCTTTTGTATTCTTTCATTATCATATTTTTGTTTTTTGCTATTGAATTTGAGAGTATAGGGATTGGAGAAACATTTAAATTATGTTACCAAATCTTTCATTATGATGAATAGACTTAATTCAGAGACATTTCATTCATAAAGAAGTAATTACCGAATTGTCCAAAGTTTATGGACACATTTCATATGCAGGATATTACTGTAAACCAAATTTTATTCGCAACAACTTTATTTTGCGATTTATCGGGGACATACTAGTTCACGACAATTTTCGCGATCAAACCTTTTTGGATTTGTAGTCAATAGGCATAGAGACTTAAAGGACCAGTTCGCGACGAGAAATATTCGCGGCGAGGATGCTCTCGAGGACATTTGTATGAAATGCAATACTCTCAGAATGCTCATTTTAATTTATTATTTCGAAATATAACATGTATATAAAACATGTTCCTCGATGATGGCTTTTGCTATCCGGATACAGCTGAGGTGGCAGCTGCAACTCCCAGGAGGGCTAGTAGTCCGATACCTCCTCCAACAGCTAAAACCACGCCCCCTAGTCGGCTTCTCCTTGTGGTCGTCATGGGTGTGGTCACTGTCGTTGTTCTTACTGTAGTTGTTGTAAATGATCAAAAAATAAGAGAAGGATTTAAAATATCATATTTTTAGACAAAAAACTATTTTTATCTTTAGATTTATTTACATAATTGAATACATAGTCACATACTGTGTAATCACTAATTTTGCGGGGTCTGATTTTCTTTTTTTTTTCTTCATTTTTGATATGTGAATGTACACCACCACGAAATGAAAATTGTTACATACTTAACAACTCAAAATTTTTACATTCACGAAATATAATCCCCACAAACTAATTGTTTTTTTTTTTTTTTTTTTTTTTTTTTTTTTGCAAAGATAAAAAAAAATGACCCAACGAAAATATGTGACTTTACAGCATTTCATGTTTTTTCGTTAATTTTTTTCTGGACAAGAGCTTTACATTTATTTTCGAGATATGACACTAGTATTTGTTTTTTCTTCTGGTAAGTTCCGGGCTGGGGCGGAAGAGGGTATCCATGTAAAAGTGAATTTCTTTGTGCTTTCTATATCTATATATATATATATATATATATATATATATATATATATATATATATATATATAAAAAAGCAGGAAATACTCGTATTTCCCGGGGCGGTGTAAGATACTTCTAATTCCCGGAAAATACTGGGAAATAAGACAAATCTAAATATTTATGACGTTAGATCATCTTGTTTGCATGGGTCATGTAGTGTACATTATACATTATACATTTATTACATGATACTGAGGGAAATATGAAGACTTATTCAGCCAAGAAAAATCATATTCCCCGAGGGCTTCGCCGGAGGAGGATATTATATTTCTTGGCTGAATAAGTCTTCATGTTTCCCGAATATTCATACAAGGAATTGTTTATTATACCGAAACAAGCAAAACCTTTGAAATAAACATAAACTTTCAAATTCGGCATCTCTCAAATTCATTTTCATTTATTACGCGTTGTGTAGAATATTTATAATGAGGTATAATAATATTGTTTATGTAAAAATGTAATAATGAAATAATAAAAAATATAAAAATAAATATATGTCATTGACATATCCCACTGTATACTAATAAGAAACTTTTTAGTATACAGTGGGATATGTACTTTTCAAAGTTTGCATCAAATCAAATATCCGTGACATTCTAGTGTATATGAAGCAGAATTATTAACAAAAAACTTAAAAATTAACTGCGGACTAAAAAAATGTTACGAGTATAGTTCGAATATCCTCGACAATATGTTATATAGAAAATATACAGTATCCTTGACCCAAGCGCCTATGGTGTGTTTCTGTGCACATTTAACTACACCTCTATTTTTGTACTATATTTAATGCAGGATACATCGCGTATAGTTTGACCTTACCTTGACATTGGCTACCCGTAGTACCTGGTGGGCAGTCACAAACTTTCTGTCCCCCCTTTTCAACACATGTTCCCTCATTGCAGTCACTGTTCCTTTCACATAGATCTGGGAGTACAAGAGAAACATTATTGGTCAAAATAAGCATTTATCTTTGCTATAATGCTGCTTTTTGTCAATCTCAAATAAATGTGATTCAAAGAAGGTGGGTTCATGTATCAAGTGTACTTTTAAGAAAGAGGGTAAGGCAAAACGAAATATATTCATATTCCCGGACTTAGCTAACAGGCTTTTACGACTGCTAACATGAATACTTGATGCACATCTATGACACTATAATTACATTGTAATATATGTTTCTTTTAACTTGGCGTCAATCTTGTATGCTAGACTTATTCTATAATGCAAATAATTAGATTAGAATTAATCAGAATCTAGGTTATTTTAATTCTTTTTATCTGAAATGGCTAGCTTTAAAAAAGTACTTGTATCTCCTTTCGTTATTAATATTGCATTACAGGAAAAGTTTCTCTCTTTTTTAAAATTAAGCTAATAATGAAATAGAAGTAACACTTACGAAACCAAATTATGATTTATTTTTATTTATAAGTAAATAAATTTAAAAATAAAAATAAAAAAATAACTCTCCATGCGGGGATCTAGTCTAAAACTTCTTTATTCCTGACTGAGCAATCCCCGCTACACAAAAGATAAACATTTTGCAACGTCATTGACACATCTAGCTACAAACTGTAGCTCTCCAAAAAAACATTGACAAACCGGAGAGCTTCGTACAGAAATTCATTTCTACTAACCGTATGTTTCCAACTTGCGACTATTTTCAAAACAAAAAAAAAATCCTTATAACCACTGCAAATAGCCCTCCCAAACTTGAAACGTAACGGAAACCATCGAAAATTCGGCTATGTACACTGTCATTTTGAACAACAAGATAATTCGGTCCATCGCACTTCGTGTCGATTTAAAATATTATAGTAAAAGTAATAGGGGTGAAAAGAATATTTTGAAGTCAAGCTTTTGTACAGTTGAGGTAAGAATTTGTAGAAATCAATCCAACAGAATGAGCGCAACTTTTTATGCGCAATAAATATATTATTATTTATTATTTTATTAATTTATAAAGTGCAAAATCACATATAGTTACTTTGCGCTTTACAATGGTTTTGCTAACATTAATAACAATATATCAATAAAAACCGATAAAATTGTTATGGAAAGTTAATAATCGATAAAACAAAGAAAGACCTTATATAAAACATGGTTGGTACCGTAGCTCTTTGGTCGTCCATTCCATTTGTTCAGACCAGCGAGCTACAAAACTAGAGATCTGCAGTTATGTTACAACAGGCACGTAATATGCGTAGGAGGGGGCGGAGGGGCGGAGAGGGAGGGGGGGGCAGAAGGCCCTCATGAACCACGTTTTCTAAGTTACGTATTTTCTTATAGTATATTAACCTTTAGATGCCGCCCCCACTTTTGTTTCTTTTTGCGGTTTTGAGGAACACTGACAAATTGCAGGATCTTGACAGTAAATTTCTTTTGGCTTTTCAGATTATTTTGAAAAGTTGCCCTTACCCCTCCTTTTTAGCTCACCAGAGCCAAAGGCTCAAGTGAGCTTTTCTGATCAAAATTTGTCCGTTGTCTGTCGTGATCTTTTCACATTTTCATCTTCTTCTCAAGAACCACTGGGCCAATTTCAACCAAACTTGCCACAAAGTATCTTTTGTAAAGGGAATTCAAGTTTGTTCAAATGAAGGGCCACGCCCTTATTCATGGGGAAATAATTCAGAAATAGTTAAAATTTGGTTGTATGTTTTAAAAATCTTCTTTTCAAGAATCACTATGCCAGGAAAGATGAAACGTATCGGGAGGCATCCTCAGGTAGAGTAGATTCAAATTTGTTCAAGACATGACCCCCGGGGTACGGGTGGGGCCACAATGGCCGTTTACATATGAATAAATATTGAATTCTCTAAAAATCTTCTTAAGAATAGCAAAGTCATTAATTATCACGTTTATATGAAAGCATCATCAGGTAGAGTAGATTCAGGTTTGTTCAAATCATGACCCCCGGGGATAGAGCGGGTCCACAATGGCCCGATCAAAATTTTACATAGAAATATATAGGGAATTCTTTAAAAATCTTCTTCTCAAGAATAGCAAAGGCATGAATGATCATATTTATATGGAAGCATCCTTAGGTAGTGTATATTCAAGTTTGTTCAAATCATGACCACTAGGGGTAGGGCAGGGCCATAACATGGAATCCAAGTTTTACATAGAAATATGCAGAAAAATTCAAGTCATGACCCATGGGGTTAGGTGTTGCCAGGTGTTGTAAGTTCAAATGTAAAGGGCAATAAAGCCACAGGTAGTCAAAGAAATATGCAGGCATCCTTAGTTAGTGTAGATCCAAGTTTGTTAAAATCATACCCTCTTCCCTTTAATAATTGGTTGAGACCACTTTTTGGTGTAAACCTTTCAATAAAAAACTGATATCTGCTTTCTTTCCAAGCTACAGTGTTCAGGTGAGCGATGTGGCCCATGGGCCTCTTGTTTTAACTTGTCCTCTTGTTTTCGGAAATTGAAACCATTGCTACAATCCTGCATACTGAAATTTAATTGATTTTTATCTTTGGGCCTTCTCTTCAATTTTTACAAACGTTTTGTTGCTTTTTTAAATTTAGAATTCACATAAACGTTGTAAAATCGTGGAGATGTGACATAAAGATGGCAATTCCTTTTATCATAGAATGTATTATAAAATGCAATTAAAATAAATTTTCGATTTGTTTTTTATTGAATGCACACTCGTTCTTCTTCCAAAATCAACATCATCAAAACGAACGACTTTTTAATTCTATACAACTAATAATAACCACAATAATAGATGGACATGCTTTTGACATCATAAGAAAACTGCGTTTTGAAATTAAAAAATGTGATTAACATCATCAATTTTTTATTGGAGATAATTTTCAGAAATCTGTTGAAATTTTCATGGGTACTAATGGTGTCCTATTTTTAGTTGAAATGTTTTTTGTATTCAATTTAGCAGATTTTTATTCATAGACTTCTATATAAAAAGAAAAATTATCTTGCTGTGGCCTTCTTTTCGACACTTTGATATATTGAATACATTAAAATAGATCAATTAATAATATCCATTTTAATTTCTACATTGATTCGATATATTCTACATCTAGTATTCTTTGAATGTGATATTTACGAAACAACAACGGTTTCATACATGTATAACGCTGATGGCAAACTATCAAGCAGATTTTATGAAAATCGTGATGAGTTCTGCTTTCTTATCCCTTATTTATGTAGCAATGTTTCCTTGTCACCTGTAATTGGAGTTCAAATCTCCCAGTTGAGTCGGTACTCAATAGCATGTTTTTTTGTAAGCATTTTTAAAAAAAAAAACAAGTTTTAAAGGTATTTACAAAAAGATTGATGCAAGGATTTAAAAAAGCTTCGTTAAGCAATCAAAATTTCGCAAATTTTATTGTCGATACAATGACTTTGATAGCGAATAAATCAATCATTTGTCGTTAAGTGGTGATATTCATTAGTCTTACAATGTGGATTTTCTCCTTTGATCGATAACTACAGCTGTATATGTCCCCCCCCCTTTTCACTACCGATAATTACATTTTATTTTTGGCCAATAGCATATTATAAATTGGATGCATGTAGATCTGAATAAATAAAAGTGAATTTGTAATACCATTAATCAGAACTGTATACATAATGAAAAAATATATATTCTGTAATTAAAAACTTTATTTGAATTAGTAAAAAAATTGAGATCGGTGCATTCATTTGCAAAACTATTTTAAAAAAAAATCTTTTACCCATGCATCTTGGTCCAAAAAACCCCCCGTGACAGAAGCAGACAGGGTAGTCAAAAATATCCTCAGGAATTTTACATTTTCCACGTGGTCCACATTCGTCTTCTCTCTCTACCAGGGAACAGGCACCCACTACAAATAGGAAACGTTATTCACAGCATTAATGAATTACAGCAAATTTGAACAAAATTGGATACAACTCCTTGAATTAAAGTTCATACAGCTACTAAGACGGAAATATCTGACAGCTTAGTTCTTTAAAACGTATTACATGTGCACTATAAGTATCGGATGTAGGAGCGACCGATCTATTTAAACTTGTATTACATTGGAAAATTGGGCGTTATTTTTTTTCTTACCCCGATGAAATAATTTTTAATTAATATTGATAATCAACATAAAAATCAGGAATAAAAGTTTTAAAAATTCGCTCTATACTTCGTCCTTATTGTTTTTATTAGGTGTAAATTGATAAGCATTTTTCAACAGATATTCATTAATGTATGATTTAATAAAAAGTTGTTTGCATGAAATGCTTCTCAACATGAACAAGCATAAGACTTGGAACTAAAACGTTTTGAGTCTCCGGATATGAATAACAGTGCCGAAAATAACTAATAAACTGTAAAAGTTTTAAGGGTGTTAATAAATATTGTTTTGGTTTTGAAAATAATAATAATTACAGTTGCAAACGACAAGATTAAAGTTTGTTTTTTTTTTGGCATTTCACATATGTAATTTGAAATAACATCAGCATTATCACATGACATGACAATGGTTACCGATATCAGGATATTGCATATCCTTTTATATCTGCATTTGTATATTCCAAATTAGGCATTTTGATACTTGCGGCACTTGTATTTGCTACAATAATTCCATGATGATACTATCCTATCCAATATCCACGAATTAATTTACTTCGTTTGACCATACACAGAAAATATAAAAAAAAAAATGTACCATGCAAGGTACGTCTTTTTCAAAATTTTCTATAAAATATCATATTTCCTATGTATTCTTTTCGTGATTTTTTTAAAAACGATATATTTTTGCGGACGAATTGATGTTTTGCATCAATTAAACTAGTAAACATATTTTGAGATTACTAACTATATTCTTTAGGATTCTTTGCAAATAAGAAAATGTTCATATTCTCGTGATCTCGCGTTTGATGGGTTACAGTTCCTTTTGACATCTTGTGATGTAACTGAAGTAAAAAGAAAAAAGCATTCTCTTTTTTTAAAAAACATCACAAACAATTAATGTAAATATATTATGAAAAATGAGAATTCATAAAGTACATGAACCTTGACGCTTTATGCATGTATGTTTATCACGAAGTGCTGACATTGATCCATAGTCACTTAAATTCATTTCTTAAATTTTTTATGGCATTCTTACCTTGGCACACAATAGATTCTGATGGAACATTTTGGAATGGGGCAGAGTTCATGTCACAAAAACATTGGTTTGAATCAACATCGCAATTTGCATTTTCTATACAATCTGAATCATTATTACAACCGCCAACACTCTGAGCCAAAATATTTTGCCAGTGCAATATGATACCACCAACAAGTAGAAACTTTCTTAAAAGGGACATCTGCATTGTTGTATCTAAAAGTTAGGACTGAAAAAAAACATATAAGTACCAAACAAATATACTAATTAACCCTGTATACAAGGGTTATCCAAAAGTAATATCAACGAAGGTATGACATATCATTTAGTAGTTGATACCACCCAGGTTTTTATCTGTTTGTATGCTTATTACCAGTCTATTGATTAATTATTATTGATGATTATTTTTTGATTCCTTCAAACTTTCGACGACAGAAGATTTTGTAGAACGTTACTATGAAGGGTGGGGGTAAGGTGAAAAAAAGCATTTACAAAATGTGAACCACTATATCACTGTATAGTTTTATGTGTGATTATTGAATAATTTAGCTATGTCACAATTCTGTACGAATGATATTTTTTTTTCACAGTTTTAGGCAAAGCATTCATTCGGAAAAGGGTGAGTGGGTGATGAAATCAAAGAAAAGAGTATTGTAAAAGTGGAGAGGGACGATTATGTGCTTCATAATTTTAAAGGCTTCTGTAGATTCTTGGAATATTGCGTAGATTCGAAAGTTTCAAATAAAGAAGACGAAAGTGTTGAAGAAAGAAGACAAATTCAATGATGAATATATGGCCTTTGATCTTTTGACCTCAAAAAGAATATGGAGTTGTGATATAAAATTGTATTGCAAAAGTTTACAGGCCTCTCGAGATATCGCGCGGAAACGAAAGTGTCGAAACGGACATAATTTTTAAATTTATGACCCTTGACCTTTTGACCTCAAAACCAATAGGGATCTCCGTACGGCCATGGGGATTATCGTGTAAAATTCCAATGCAAAGGCTCATGGGCTTTTGGAGATATTGCGTGGAAACGAAAGCATTACACACAGACAGAACTACATATGGACGGACAGACGGGCGGACTGATAGACAGACCGTCATTAATATCGGCCACTCTTAGCGTGGGGCAAAAAGGTTCAATGTGTATTCAAACTATGGCATTTCTAAGGCAAAGCGAGAAAATTTCCCCTCGGCCATCGGCGAACTTGATATGGCGAGAAATTAAATGCAAACATTAGGTCACAAACAAATCCTTTAAATGTTAACATCAAAATTGTCAAAATTTCACAAAAAAAAACAAAACAAGTGTATCTAGTTTAGCCTATACTTAACCTTTTGCCTTCAAAACCAAGAGGCGTCTTCTGTAGACCATAGGTCACATAGAATTTAATTGCAAAAGTTCAAAGGTTTCTCGAGATATCTCTTGGAAATAAAAGTGCTAACGGAGGGACGGAGAGAAAGGCAGGGGTGGGGGTTGTGGGGAAGAGGTAGTTATGACATAAAATTTAACTGCAAAAAGTCAAAAGCCTCTAGAGATACCTATCATCTAAAAATTTAAGTTTTACACACCCCTTAAATATATTAATACATGTATACTACCCTAAGTCTAATAGAGGTCTTGTTTTAGCCATAGCGAGTTGTAGTATAATTAAGGAATCACTGTCTATAGGCGAAGCCCGTTATGCATAAATTATCCGATGTTTCCCACTATCGTTGATGTCCCTGGCATACTATACGAACTAGACAGTGATTCCTTATATTTCCGTTTCATTGTGAAATAAAATTGTAGATTTATATCTTTAAAATGTAGACATAGATTTAAGGGGGCCGACTATAGTTTTATTGTGTGAAAACTACAATACCGAAACTCTTCATTTTTATATCATATATAACTTACATTACCTTCAGTGTACATGCAAAGTTTGGGGGAAATCTACCGTCCATGTATTTTTGAGGGGCTGTCTCAAAATACAGGTACATTTACTATAGGATTATATAGGAAAATGCCAATTTTTAGCACTTTAAAGCAAATTATACAAATACTACAATAGACATTTTGTTCAAACTATAATATTTGATGAGTAATACTATATTATATAATATATGTAAGAAACACAAAATTCTACCGTCTTGTTACCCGAGGGGCGTCTCAAAATGCAAAAAATTAGCAAATTTTACTATTTTTATAGAGTATTACAAAATATGACGTACACAATGGATTCACATGAAAACATAATAAAAATATTGGAAATATTCTCAAATTTCTATGTTTTAAATTTCAAGAGCGTATGTCTATTACTTTTTCTTTAATAATATTTTTATTACCCCTTTCTTTAAGAGCTAGAGATTATCATAACGTCAAAAACACACTGCAACGACGTCAATTACCTATCAATTGCAAAATCGGTTAAAAAGTCAGTTATATCAAATTGCAATCAATTCTTTATACCTATAATTTCTTAATTTTGCTTAATTTTAAAAATTAAGCGAAAAAAGTTGCATTAAAATAGTAAATACGCTTCATTTTACCATGATGCGCGAAATATTGCACAATAAAAACTATAGTCGGCCCCCTTAAATAACACGAGGACTCCGTTGCCAATTTCCATAGCCCTCTCCAACAGACGTCAAACACAAAGGCAGCCGCACGAGATTTTCATGCATATTTGGAATCCTTACCGTCAGACACAGAGACAGATGCGCACGAGATTTACATGCATGTTAGGCCTCCCTAGCTCCTGACCTTTTGACCTGCCTAATTTACATTCCGGCAGGTTTATCAAAAAATTAACTCCGCTAAATTTTAAAGAGTTATCACAGAGACAAAAATAAGAAAAGAAAATATAATATCATTGCAAAACCTCAAATGTTTTTGGAGATATTGTGCGAAAACGAAACTGTTTGAACAGACAGAATTCTTTTAATTTATGACTTTTCCTTTGAACTTTTGACCTCAAAATCGAAAGGGACCTTCCTTATGGAGAGTTTTTGTGTAACATTTTATTTAAAAACCTCAAAGGCTTCTCAAGGTATTGCGTGAAAACAAATGCGAACTTCAAACGGACTGACGGACAGCTAGACGGACGGATACACAGACCAAAATTAATATCCCCCACTTTTAGCGAAGGACAAAAAATAGAAATAATTTTTTTTTTTCATCATTATTTTTATAAATTATACATACACAGATCTTGTGCATCTTTTATCTGTTCCAGCAGTTAATATTATATACTAGAAAGGACACTTAGATCTTCAATGGCGCCTTTAGTGGATGATGTGTATGCGATTTTTTTTACCTTTTTTTTTAAACTTCTTACAAAAAATCTCTAGCTTTAACGGGTATACGATTTAATTTTCTTTGTATATGTGTGGAAGAGAGATTCACATGGATTTGAATTGAAAACTTAAGTAAATCATCAATTTTACCTCATTGATTTAAGGAATAACTGTCTTATTTTTCGATTTCCTGATATGATCAATCGATTGGGTTGCGTAATAATTTGAATAAACGACGCCGAAGGCGTTTATGTATAAAATTATTACGCAAGCCAATCGATTGATCATCGTCATGAAATTGAAAAAATTGACAGTTATTCTTTATATTTACATGTTTTGATTCCATCATTCCACTTGCTCCAAGCCCTGCTTCTGTCTAGCTGTTTGTTCCGCCCCTGCATGTGATTTTTTAGGAACCGCGCCAATACATTGATTGGGTAATAAAGTACACATAAATTTAGGGATGTAAACGAATATTCGAATATTCGAATATTCATTCGATGAGTTGATATTCGAATATAAATATATGATTCGAATATTCGGTTTTTAGATATACAAGCTTTTATTAGAGAGAAAATCTTGTAAGTTTTATAAGTTCATACCGTTGACTAAGAATAATGTTTGATTTAAAAAGAAGCTTTAAAAGAAAGTCCTTTGGATTACTTTAAAAGTGTAACTATTAAAATATATCATTCTTTGATCATTTGATTAGTGGTATAACATTGCCAAATACTTACAATAAGTTAATACTATTGTAAGGACACAGTTTTACAGAAAACACATGAATCACTTGTTTATGTAAATATCATTAAAATAATTATCAGGAAATTAAATAGCTAAAATTAATTGGTTTTAATTTTTCTTCAGTAGATAATTGTTAAGCTTGTTTAGCATGGTATTTTTGTTGAAGTAATAAGTAATGACCAATAAATGTATACTGGTTGACAGGAGAGTAAAAATATGTTCATGTACTTCATAATGCAAAATGTGTTTATTTTATCGAATATTCGAATATATTCGATTACTCCTATCGAATATTCGAATATCAATTATTGACAATTTTGACATCCCTACTTATAATTTGTAATTTTATCTCGGACAAAGACATTTGAAATGTAAATATTCTAGTATTCGTTGTACATGTGATATGTTTATCAATATATAAAATGTTCATTAAAATTTAATTCTTCTGCAGCCAGTTCCTTCTTCATGATCAACACATTTGAATTTCATTCAAATTACCACATTCGAAAGACCCACCTTTGGTGAACGCAAAATTTGTGTACGAAAATATTATATATTGACAATATTATTCTCATGGTGATTAATTCAATCTTTACATTAATGAAATGATAAAAGTACTTGAATATCTCATATTATATAATGATTTGTTAATCGATGAATAAACACCTTTTTCTCTACGTTTCTTTTCAGGTTGTGTTATACAAATTAAGAGCTTATATTAGAGGACAGAATACTTAACTGCGAACCTTTTCAGTGTTTGTGATTCTAAAAAATAGATCCACTACTCTGTTGATCCTATAGTGAAAAAATGTAATTACATGCTTTTTGCTTAATCATAAATAAACAGTGACGTCAATGAATGCGCGATTATTCTTTAGAAAGAAATGATTTCTGTGATTCTCTTCTTTTTAAATTCTGTGAATAGATTGGATAATTTTTTTTTTTAAAACCCTTTGTAATACATGCCATTTTTATCTATGAACGTCTGATGACACTTATCTTTAATTAAGAAAATTTAATAAAAAAATCATTAAGTAAGCTACATGTGAATTGCGTATGTCCATAATGGAATTATTCTACGTATATTCAAACTAACTTAAATAATCAAACTTTTAGTCCTCTAATGCACTTCACAATATATAGCAGGACCTCACATGCTTGAGATCCTTTTGATCCGAAATTC